AGATAGATTGGGCATGATAGATACAAAGTGTCGTAATCGAACCCACAACTGGTACGAAACATCTAGCAGGACGTGCATATTTCACCATCCGATCACTGATGCGACAGTGCCCGCTCTCATGTCGGTGCGCGCCAGGTCGCGCGCAAAAGGGGGGGTGTTTGTCCGGCGGCAACATCCAGATTTTCCGACGGTCAAAAGAGGAGACCTGCAAGAACCAGCGGTGTTGGGCTTTCCTGATTTTCTGCACCTCCAGAGCGTTGATGCGTTCCCCCCTGGCAGGCGGCTATTCTCTACGTATCGTCGCCCCGCTGGTGGCCTACGATTGCTGAGTAGGTTATTGGATTTGCCCCACCAGCAAGGAATTGTTGGATTGACAAGTAAGCATTGTTTGTTCGATTCAATGCACGTGGTGGAGCTAGGCATAATAGCATATTATATGGGATTCGTTTTCGCGCAACTCTTGAAAGTTGGCATGTTCGGTCCATGGTCCGAGAAAGAACCTGACTCAGCAGATTTTGAGATCAACCGCTGTTTAACACAATATTATACTCGGCACGGCGTGGATCAAGGTCTCAGGAGCAAACTCGCATCTGGAATGATAGACACGAAAGTAGACAATCCGTCACTAACCCTCAAGGCAGCCAAAGGGAAATCGTTGCTGCCATTTTTTGTGAATCTTCTCGTTGAAAAAGGCGGCAAACAAGTTTTGGACAACAAGGCCCCCATGCTCGGCACGCATCTGGCCGATTGCGGCACGTCTCTGCAATCGTATTTTGCCATCTGCGCACGGGGGCCGCGCAGCATGTCGCCGAGCGCGATTGTGCACCTTGGCCACGTGACTCGACGTTGCGTCAGAGCCTGGATAAACGCAGGACAACCGATGACGATGAAATGGCACGTGTTCGCTTGCCATTTCGAGGACCAAGCCTCGTTTGCAGGCAACCCGTCGTTTAGCCATAACTATTCGGACGAGTCCGAAAACTATGGTTCCAGAATTCGGTCGTTCGGCTTGTATCGACCTCTGTTTGTACAAACTTGGCTTACCAAGTGGGTTGCTGAGTTCCTTTTCAATAATCACTTGGATTGATCTGCGTGGTGCGAATGTGTATTTATTATTATGGCCATGCATGGATTTAAATATTAACCCTGTTCACAATCGCCAGCACCATGCAGATCACGTCTGGCTTGGCCTCTGGTGTTTCACAGTTCGCTGACTTGCCGCCGCAGCCAGGGGCACGCGCCCCCAGGGAGAGAAAAGCAAAACAGCAAGAGAGGGAGGGGTAGAGGGGAGGGCGAAGGAGAATCTGACTTCTCCCTCGTCCTCTCCTACTCCCTTCACCCTCCTTCCTCCCCTCGCCCCATCCCCTCTCCCTTCCTTTCACTTTTCTCAATGTTATCATATGGTCATTCTGACCCCCTTTATCGTCGCCATCCCCCTTTTTTCTACTAATCCTCCGTGCCCCTCCTCCCCCTTCTGCTTCTTATTTTCCTCCCTTCCCTCTCTTCCCCTTCTCCCTCTGGCCCTCTCCACTGCTTTTCTGAAGCCCTTATCCTTGTCCTTATCCCTAACTAAGTCTGCTATGTCATGTTGTGATATGCTGTGTTATGCTATGATATATGCGATGCTGTGCTATGCAATCCTTATCCTTATGATGTGCTATGATTTGCTATGGTATGCTGTGCTTTGCTGTGCTATGCTGTGCTATGTTGTGCTATGCTATGCTAAGAATGCTGCGCAATGCAACGCTATGATATCATTATCCTCATTCGGTCCTGCGTTGTGTTGTGGTATGCGATGCTGTGCTATGCTAATCAGGCCTTGATGGCGCGCTGTGCTATGCGATGTTTCAAATAACTCGAAAAACCCTAAGAAACCCAAGAAACCTTTGGAAACCCTCAAAAACTCTTACTGAATACGATGAAATGATGCAGCTTTTGCGCGGAAGGTATGGAAGGTGGAGACTCAGGGTGGAGAAGCCAAATGGAGGGCGGTGGGGGGCGTGTCCTGTGTTTTGTCCGGTAGAGTCTAGACTGTTCCGAGATCAGAGCTTTTGGTTTTCGATTCGTGCCTGGAGGGCGCTGCTGGCCCTGTGCGGCTTTTCCCGGATCACCGTCCGCTCCTTGCTGCGTAGGGTGGGGGTCGGGTGGGTTCGGTGGGGGTCGAAGCTGGGACACATGGCTCCGAATTCGCACTGCGCTTCGCAAGCGCGGCCCTGGGGCCGCGGCTCTGGAATGGGCCCCTTCGCCGTTAAACCTGGGCAGAGCTGAGCTTGTTGATCGCGAGAAGTTTGTTCGGGCTGGCATTGGTTTTATTGGCCAAGCTGCCTCAGAGGATGCAGAGCGCTCGTGGTCCATGTCGGTGCGTGTTGGGCCACCAACTGGTGGTTTCTGGGGCTCCTCAGGCTGCGCTGGTTCGTCGGAGAGCCCGTCGGGCTCTCATCGGTGAAACGGGGGCTACTCCCCGCAAGGCCCGTTCTGGGAACGCCTCTCTCGACGGGGCCACGGTGGGGCTCCGCCCTCGACCGCGCCGCGCGTGCCAGCCCTTGCGCTTTGGTTTCTTTCGGGCTTTCGGTGCTCGGCGTGCGAGCTTCTCGTTCCTCGGGCCGGCCTCTCAGAGGCTTGTCAGGCCCATTGCATCGCTGCCGTCGGGGGAGTGTGCTCGGTCCCGGGTCCCGTGGCAGTTGGTTGCGCGATCTTGCGTCCTTGCTATGCTGTGCCCCCCATCACAGGCTTGATGTCGTCAGTTGTTGCCTGCTGGGGGGCGGGCAGCTGGGGCCCCTGCCTGGCCTGGGCCGGCCACAGCGGGAGGGGGGCAGACGGGGCGGGCGCCAGCAGGGAGGAGGAGGGATGTAGTGAGGAGACGGGGGGGCGAACGGTGGAGCGTCCTGGCTTGTTTTAACACATCGGAATGATGTTCTAAGGACGTGGTTCATGTGTTGAAAGACACTTTTGGGCTCAAGAAACATGTCGTGGTAGGCCTATAGGAATGCCGGGACGGTCGGTCCCTGCTCAATGGGAGGCGAGAAGGACCCGCAGCCTCCCCTCGAGGAGGACGTGGAGGCGTGGGGGGTCGCGACGTAATGGTCCAAGCTTCTCAGCTAGGGTCCGAGTAGGAAGGCTCGGAGGATGCCGCATCGCCGATGCTGCTCGATCTGGAACCCCAGTTTCTCCGCGTTGGCGTTGCCGATTCACCGCCGACCGATGTATCGGTGATGCATCGCGATCCTCCGACCTTATTTATTCGGACCCCATCTAGGAGGCCTCACGATGAGTGCGATGTTGCGGCATGCTCGGACAACCGAGGCCACGCAATTAGGGATGTTGGATCAGAAGCGGCGGCGGAGGAGGTGCCCCCCCCCTCTCTGGGTGGAGCAAGCCTTTGGCCCGGCCTCGCTGGACAAGCGCAGACGTCGCCCAGGTGGGGGGGGTGGGGGGGCACTTCTACTATTCTATCCACGGGCGTGATCAAACCTCCCCCAGTGGCGAAGGCCAGTGGGGGCGGGGTGCGCAGCATCCTCTTGGATCCTTAATGCCGTCGCCTCCGCGGGTTTGCTGCCTCGTTTGTGCAGTCTTTGCTGCCTGGGCCCTCAGCCTTTGCAGCGTATCGGGCTCATAGTAGCAGCGCAGGAGCGTGCATAGCAACCATGACTTGATATTGGGTGTGTTTGGTGGTACTGTACGCTACAACGATACCCCCGTTCAGGTCGCCCTCCGCCAGCGCAGTTTCTCTGCCTAGTCGCCGACGTGCAGTGTGTGTGTGTGTGTGTGTGTGCGTTGTGCGAGTTTTGTAGCAGTTGTCAGCACTACGGACGGAAATGCGGGTACCTCGCTCCCTATGGCGTCTGAGTCCTGAGTTCTACTTCCTCACCAGCAGCAGCCCGCACCCGCCAGTGGAGAAGTGCGGCGCGAGTGCCCTGCGAGGGAACCGTGCGCCCATTGGCAGGCTTTATCTCGCAGGCCCCGCCGCGTGAGCCAGAGAGGCTGGTCGTGCAGGTGTGCCCTGCAGATTCCTAAGGATCACAGAGGCTGCTCGGCGCCAGTCTCGGAGGGACCCCTCACCGCCTGATGTCGGGGAACCCTTCGAGCACGCTGGAGCTCGGGTTTGCCCACGCTTTTCGACGAGCGCGTCGTGGATTTGGCGGTCCAGTTTTTGGTGGGGTGTTTGCAGCGGGAATTCGCATCAAATTCCAGATTGGGTCTCGTCGTTTTCATGATGGCCCCGTCAGGCCAAGGCGAGTCACCCGAACCCGAGCTTTACGTTTCCAAGATGATGGCCCAAGTGGGACCACCTTTTGCTTGCTCGGCAGCGTGTGGAAAGCTCAGGTGGTGCGACACTGGGAACTGTCATTTCAATCACATCCTGGCGGAGTGCCCCATCGGATGAGTACATGGCTGAACGGAGTGGTTCCACGCTTGCGCAAAATATCTGGTGGGTTCTGATCTTTCTTGGCGGAGTGACCATCGTGTCGAGCATGTGGCGTGGCAACAGCGGAGTCGATATGTCGCACCCCGGTGGGCGGGGGAGGCAGGACGTTGAGGAGGGAAAGAGGGTGGAGCGAGGGTGACAGGGAGGCACTCTCCTCTCCAGCAGCTTCTCTTCCTCGCGCGTGGTCCCCGCTTAGCCTTCTCCTTCGCCCGAAACCGCAAGGCCTTTGTTCCTCCTCGCTCTCCCCGTTCTGTCTTTTGGCTTCAATGTTGAGCGCCGCGCCTGTCCAGGCTGTCATGCAACCCTCCTCCCCCGTTATCTTCCTCTCTGCCCCGCTTCGTCTTCGTCTGCCTTATAGGCACCCTCGAACTTCCGGTCCTGATTTTCATGATTCGCGCCCTTTTCGTTCGCATCCTCCCGTGTGTGTGTGTGTGTGTGTGGGTTTGACCTTGCCATGTACACGCATGCGGGTTCAGCTTCTAGCTCTGATTCGTAGTCGTCGTCCTCCCCTTCACCTCGCACGCGATCGCTGTTTCCTCTCATTACCAGAACGCCCGAGCGCCCATACCGGAAGGAGTTTATCAGCGGCACCAACACAGCCAATTCGCTTCAAATCGGCGACAGGCTGTACGAGGAGCAGGCTTACAAGGCGCGGGCCTGAGGAAGAAGGGGGAGATGGAGGAGGAGTGAGCAGTAGACGGTATAGCTCCTACGTAAGTAGGCGCGCAATCGCCAAACGCCAAGCCCCAGAAGGGGACCATCCATGGAGACGCTGGGGCCGCTGGGGAGCTGCTGCCGATTCAGCTCGGCCTGGTGCACGGCGACGGCTTGCTCTCCACCCCCCCTCCCCATCCTCCTCCTCCTCCTCCTCCTCCTCCGTCTCCTCCTCCTCCTCCTCCTCCTCCTCCGTCCTCCCTGTTTGTATCAGGTAGACATCAGCGGCTGGGCTGTTGCGCTCCCCTCCCTCATCCCTCCCCTCCCTTCCCTCTCCCTTCCTTCCCGGAGGAAGCGCTCCTTCGATCTCCCCTCTCCGCGGGCAAGACCCCGGGGTGCCGCCTCCCCTGGGCGGGGGCGCGCTCGGCTCGAGATCTGTGTGGACGCATGCTTGTCGGCACAGAACAGTGAGACCTCTCCCCGGCGCGCGCCACCAGGGCGTCGCGGCGGACCACCCCCTTTTCGGACACGTCGCTGCGCCTGCAGGCTGCTGTGCCGTGATGCTCAGGCAAAGTGTGGCACTGGCAGGGTCCGGCAAGTCATTGTGCGTACATGTTCGCCGATGCATCGGCGATGTGGCGCGATCCTCCCGCCCTATCTTCTCGGACCCCCTTCGGGAGGCGTCTGCGCCTACCCTTGCCGCAGAGAGCGTCCCTGAAAATCGCGGCGGGCAGCTGAGGAGTTTTCAGGGGGAGGGGAGAGCAGGAAGGAGAGCGTGGGGGGCGGGGGCGGTATGAGGACAGCGGGAGCTGGGTCCCCCCACCCCCTCCCACCCCTCCCCTGGACAGGCGGCCAAGATCCTCTACCATTCCATCCCCAACAACGCCAAGCTCGCCAGCTGCCTGGTGAAGCTCGGGGAGTACACGCAGGCCGTGGAGGCCGCGCGGAAGGCCAACAACGCGAAGACCTGGAAGGAGGCGCCCGCGAGGGGGAAACGAGCGGGGGGAGCGGGTCGAGAAACGGCACGCGGCATAATCACAGACTTTCGGAGGCCCGCGCTTTTTTTGGGGGGGGTCGGCGCTGGTCCATCCCTGGCGGCGCCTCTGGCGGCGTCCCTGGCGCGCGGAGCGCGCTGGGGAAGGGGGGTCCAGCGGCGACCCAGAAGCTCTGCGCGGACCTCCGAATCTAGTGTTTTGTCCCTCGAGTCCTTGCCGGGTCGGAGGGTGACGTTACCAAAGCAGGGCAGTATTCGCCAAGGGTGTCACCGTGCATGGGCACACGCCTCCTCTGCCTCGATTCGGGCAGCAAGTGTATCCATATGATGCCCAAGCTTGGCGCCGCATTGCTATCGTCATTGCTGGGTGCCGAAAAAGCCTGGGTCAGCTTTCGGGTCGATTCGGTTTCAACATGCGAGCGCGAAGCGGGAGTCGCTGTATCGATCTTGGCTCGCAGCTCGGGCCTCGGCCTGAACGTGTGCGACATTTGGCAGAGACCCAGTCCCAGCTGGGAGTTACGAGGGGAGGAGAGAGGAGGGAGGAGGGAGGGTGGAAGGGGGATGGGGGGGGGGGTAGGGAGGGAGGGAGGGGGCCAGAGAGGGGAAATGGCGCGGGGCCTGGCCGCCGCACCCTGCCCAGAGCAGATTGGGGGGGCCAGCGGCGCCGTGCGGTTGGACCACGACAATTCCGGCAACCGCCGGTCCAGCTCGACGGTCGCGGGGAGGCGGCGTCCTCCTCGTCCTCGACCTCCTCTGCCTCCCCCTCCCGCTCCACCACACCGAGGCGTGACCCCATGTTTGCGTGACCCCCATGGGCAATGCTCTCCTCATCCTGCTCAGTGTCCTCTGCTCCTCAGCTTCCCGTCCTCCCCCGTCTCTTCCTCGCCCTCGTCATCCTGGTGGTGCTGCTGCTCCCCCCCCCTCCCCTCTCACCCCTGGTTTCCCCCTCCCCCCCTCTTCCCCTGCCTCCCACCCCAGGCCCTCCTCGCGCGCGCCCTCCCGCTCCAGGTGAACATTGCCTGCGTCTCCGCGGAGCAGTTCCGGTGCGCAGAGATCGCCGCGATGCGCCCCCCCCAGCCAGCCGCGGCCGGCCCATGGGGGCGCCTGGGTCCGATCACTTCCGTAGGCCTTGGGCGCGATGAAGAGCGTCCTCCAGGGCAACTGTTCAGACTATTGGCCGTCGTTCTGCCTCTTCTCTTCCTCCTCATTCCTCTCCCTGCCCCCCATCCCCCCCTCTTCCTCCCACTTTTTTCCTCTCATTATCCTCCTCGCTTCCTCCTCCTTCTCCTCCTCCTCCTCCTCCTCCATCTCCTCCTCCGCGTGGTTCCCTTCTCCTCCTCCGACCTCCACTGCTCCTCATCATCGCTTCTCGCCCTTTCTCGTCCTCCTCCTCCTTCTCTTCCTCCTCCTTCTCTTCATCTTCCTCCTCGCCCTTTTGTCATCGTTCATCCCCCTCTTCCTCTTTCACCTCTTCCCTCTCTTCGTAGACATTGTTCTTCCCCTCCTCCTCCTCCTGCTCCTTCTCTTTCCTACCCTCCTCCTCGCCCTCCTTTCCCCTCTTGCCTATTCCTCCACCCTCCCTATTCGTCCTCCCTCCTCCCTCCTCGCCGCCTTCTCCACATCCTTCTCCTGCTCCTCTCGCCTTCCCGTCCACCCACCCCTCCCTCCCCGCACCCCATCCCTCACACCGTGCCTCCCCCTCCCTCTCCCTCCCCCCTCCTCATCTTTCTCCCCCGTCACCCTCCTGCCCTCCTCCTCCTCCTCCTCCTCCTTGTCCTCGCCATCCTCGCCGTCCCTTGCCATCCTGCTGCTCGTGCTGCTCCTTCTCCTCCTCCGCCTCCACGTCCTCCCCATGCCTACCTTGGCGGCCTGATCCTCTGACAGGGGCCGCAGTTCCTCCGCCGCCTCCTCCTCCGCCTCCTCCTCCAGGCCCACCCGTCCAGGGCCGGGCCCGCGGGGACGCGCCGAGGCACATAATCGTCCACCCAGACCACCTGGAGGAGCACGCCACCCCGCGGCTCTTGCCCGCCGTCCCTCCCTTCTCTCCCCTCTCCTCCCTCCTCATCCCTCCCCTCCCTCCCCTTCCCTCCCCTCCCCTCTCCTCTCTCCCCTCCCCTCTCCTCCCCTGCCCTTACCTTCCTCCTCCTCCTTCCCCCCCCCTGCTGTTCCTCCTCCTCCCTCACCTTTTCTCTTGCGCTGCCTGTGCTCAGGTCATAGAGGAGGACGCAGCGTCTGCGACGTCAACTAACCGTCTAACTCAGCCGAGGTAGCCCAGAATCGAGCCTCAGGTAACATGACAGTGAACTGCACCCTAGATGGGACTGAATAGGGGCGACGAGGAATGGTCCTGGCCCTCGAGCGCTCAGCCCTGGCGCGCCTGTGCCGCGCCGCCTCCGCTTGCCTCGCCGTGGCCAGCCAGGCGGGAGACAGCTGTGGCGCGCGCGCGGGGCAATTGTCGCGGCGCGAGGGCACGTGCACGACGTGGTCCGACCGAGCAACTCCCCTGCGCTCAGGCCAAGCCCTCTCCTCCTCCTCCTCCTCCTCCTCCTCCTCGTCCTCGTCCTCCTCCTTTCCGAGGTGCGGAGGTGTGGACAAGCAGTTGTGCAGCTTGATCCTTATCCTTGGCTCCCAGTTAGGGCGCGGTTCGGGCCCCTCCCGTACTCGGTGCAGACTGTCGGCCGTGCTGAGAGGTACGCGATCAGGGAGGGGCTCGACGCTTTCCCTGACCACCAGTGCTTCGTCACCGACCTGCTGGCGCTCGCCCAGGAAGGAGAACGTTGGTGCCCCGAGCTCGAGCAGGGTCGTGCCAAGCATGCTACAGCGTGGCGGGACATCTTCGTGGCCAGCCGCAGGCGCACTCTGCGGGACCCTCCTACGTTCCGGCGGACGCCTGCGCACAGGTCCTTGGAGGAGCTTGTGGGCGCAGGGCCGCAGGAGCTGCGTGACTGGCTAGGCAACGGCTGGGCAGACTATTTCGCGCGCTGTGGTGCGGCCTCTCACGCACTGGCTGGGTCGGTAGCCGAGGCGGTAACGGCTGCGCCGAAACAGCACCGCAAGGTCCTGCAGTTCATTTCGTGGGCGGTACTGCAGGTGGTTGTTCGCAAACAATGGGGATGCGACGTGGAGGTCCCCAGGCCACCTTGCGAGCAGGCCATGCCCATTGTGGTGGCACGCAGTACGGACCATGTTCTTGCTTACTGCGCCAGCCTAGGGCGGTGCCGATGCACCCAATGTGGAGTCACGGCCACAACGGGCTCCTCCCTCGAGTCGCTGCAAATTGGCTCTCATCGTGTATGTCGCCCTTCGCGTGTTGCCAGTGCCCTCAACGCCGAGTACTTTCGCGCCTTCGGCGGGGGCTGGGTCCTCTGCAGCGACCAGAGGGCTGGCATGGCCCTGCGCGCGGTCTTGGCGCTCGAAGGGAGTTCATAGCCCTCGACCCCCGCAGCCTTGTCGCCACTTGCCCTGGCCGAGGAGGTCGGGGACGCCTTCGCCGCGCTTGGGCACGACGTGTTCAGGGGCAACAATGTTTACTGTTGCAGGTGATGCGGGTCTCACTGTGCTGCGGGAGATGTCCGTGCAGTGCGTAAGCTTGGCTTGAGGTGCGATGGGCTCTCGCCCAACGGGTCCACGCGCCGCAACCAGCTAGATGCGATCAGGCGCGTCGAGAAGGGCCTGGCGCCTCCTGCCCGACGTACCCCAGCAGCGCCGCTCCCGCAGGGTGGCTCCTCTTGCAGCCATGCGGCGCGATGGTCGACCATGTCGTGATTCGTTGCCGTTCCGTGTTCGGCTGGCGGCACGGCGTCTTCTTCGGCGGCGACGCCTTCTTCGTCGGCGGCAAGTTGGCCTGCGTCCACGGCCTTGAGGGCGGCTTCTTCCAGCTGCTCTCCTTCTACAGTGCCTCCTGCTCTTACGGCACCGTGTCGTGAGTAGGCGGCGCCACGGGGTAGTCCGTCGCGCGCCCGCGTGCGCGGCGGGGGACCTTCCTGAGGCGCTGCGCTCCTCCTCCCCGTACC